GCGAGGTGCGCAACAGGCCGCGCACAACACACACCACACACAGCACACACACACACACACAGCACAACACACAGCAACACACACACACACACACACACACACACACACACACACCACACACACACAGTGGAACCCAGCGACACACACACACACATACAAAGCACTTGCACACACACAACACACACACACACACACACACACAGCACACACACACAACACACACACAGCCACACACACACACACACACACACACACCACACACAACACACACACACACCACACACACCACAGACAGACACAAACATACACTTGCACACAGTACATTTGCACACACACGACACACACAGCCAAACAACACACACACACACACACACCCACACACACACGACGACACACACTCACAGCGACACAAACGACACACAACACCAACACACACACACACACACACAACACAACACACACACACACACACGAACACACACACCACAGCACACACATACACACACACCACACACACACCACACACACCACAGCGACCACACACAGTCGCACACACACACACACACACAGCAGCACACACACCCACACACCCACACACACATACACATACACACAGAAACACAACACACACATACCACTACACATAGACACAATAGCACATAACACATAGCACACAACACACACACACACACACACATAACACCATACACATACATACACATCATACCAACATAACCATACACATAAACACATGACATACAGCATACACACAACACACACACATACACATACACCGAGTAGCACATACACATACACATAACACAATACACATACACATACACATAACACACAGGCACAACACGACACACACACACAGCACACCCACACAGAGACAGCACACACACAACACACACACACACACAACACAACCACACACAACACACACACACACACACACACACATAACACACACACATAACAAGCACACACACACACAACACACACACACACAACACAACACACACACACACACAGCACTCACACACAGCACATCACACACACCAACCACACACAACACACACTTGCAACAAACAACAAGACCACACACTTGCACACACTGTGCACACACATTGCACACAACGTACGCACACACACACAAACACACAACACCACACACACACAACACACAGCACAATCCAACACACACACACCACACACATTGCACCACACTCACACACACACACACAACACACACACACACACCACATACACATACATACACACACATGGCACACAGCACACACCTCACACACACTCCACAACTCACACTCTCACTCTCAGCTCACAACTCACACACTCCAGCACACCACGCACACACACGCAAACACACGCACACTCACACTCAAAACACGCACACAGCACACACACACACAAAATCACTCAAAGACACAGAATTGTATATCTTTCCGTACAGACTTATGCACTGAAATGTATAGCCATGCAAGGACTGTTTGTCAAATGTTGCAATGGTGGATTTGTAAAAATGCTTACTAACTGTGGTGCATCTTCTTTTTGTGTTGCTTGTCAGGAGGTGATGGAACTTTCTAAATCGCCAAAGTCACCAAAGGTATAAAGATAACGAATATTGTGTTCCTATTTTATGCATATGGTCTTGTGTATGTCTCAGAATAGTGGTATGCTGTATTTTGTATTTTTCTGTATGTGAATACCAATGTGGAAGGATCGAAATGTGTAATGGTATAATTTATTTCCTCTTCTTTTGTGTGTTGTTTATATCTTTTCTTTGAAGGAAATTTGTATATTTGATTTCTTGTGAAACTGCAGTATTTGGCTTGAATGTGGAATATCTCCACAATTAATAGCTGCATTAGAAAGCATGAATATTGCTAGACTCATAGAACCAGTATTTTTTCATGTAATGTTTTATTATGATTAAGAGCATGCCCTTCTCTCTTCATTACTAGGTAATGTTGAAATTTGATTTGAATGCACAGTGTCAAAGATCTGTCAGATATGTATATTATTTTACAGTTGTATGTGTGCATGAAATGAAGAAGCAAATTCATAACACATGTTTTTAGTTTTATTTATTTATGCATATTTAATTTTGTTTTCCAGGCATTATAACAAGCTAACCTGTCAGAGAGAGAGAGATGGAGGTGATAGAGGAGTGGGGAGGGGGAGTGAGAGGGGAAGAGGGAGAGGGAAGTGGAGATGGAGATGGAGATGGAGATGGAATAAGTGAGGGAGAAAGGGAGGAGGAGGGGCAGGGGAGGATTTGGGAGGGGGAGCAAGAGATGGAGGGAGAGTTTTTAGGGGAGGA